TTTATAAAAGATATATAATAAAAATTTTTATATTTAAATAAATTCTAATATTTAATAACTTAATTAAATAAGATAAATTAAAAATTTAATTTGAAAAAATAATTTATCTGATAAATTAATCTTTTTATATTAGATTATATTAAATTTTATTAAATACAAAAATATTTTAAAAAAAATTTATATAAATTAAAAATAAATTTTTATATTCTAGTTTTTAAAAATAAAATTTTTAATTATTAAAATTCAATAATAAAATAATTAAATCAAAATTATTATTATATAAAGTTAATAATTAAAAATAATATAATACTTAAATTTTTATTATTATAATTAATAAAATATAGAATTCTTTATAAAAATATATATATATTTTTTTTAGTTAAATATAAACTTAATTTTTATTAATATTAATAAAAATTAATTAATTTTATATATAATACTTTTTATAATTATAAATTAAAAAGTTAATTTTATAATAATATAATAAAAATTAAAATTTTTATTAAGTTTTAATAAATTTTATTAATAAAATTAATTTTTTAATAATATAATCTTAGATAATTCTAAAAAAATAAAAAAATATATATTAAAATAAAAAATTTTAATTTTATTTTAAGTTAAAAATAAAGTATATTTATTAATAAAATTAAAAACTTTTATATATAATCTCTATTTTTTATTTATTTTATTTTTATTCTCTAATTAAAATATATTATTTTTATATATTTTAGAAATTTTATAAATAATACTTTTATTATAATTTAAAACTACTTTTACTAATATTATAATTAGAGATATCATCTTAATTAATTATAACTTGTGATTATTAATTAGAGAATTATGATCAATTGTGATAGTTAATCAGAAAATTATGATTAAGTTGTAATATTATCAAATTTTATAAGATAAAGTTTTTAAAAAATTTATCTTATATATATTAATTTTATCTTAGAATAACTTTAACTTATAAAAATTTAATTATATATATAATAAAAAATATATACAATTATATTTCTCTAAGTACATTCTCCCTAAGTGTATGTACTATATAACATTTCTCTAAATGCATGATAAGCTCTATATATTTTGATCTTTATAAATACACACACTCTTTAAATACATATTTTTTATTTTTTTAATATAATTTCAAGAGAAGTATATTTAATTTAAAAATTCAAATATTATATTATTTTTAATTATTATTATATATAAATTATAAATTAATATTAAATTATAAAAATAAAGAATTTTAATTAATTAAATTAATTATTATATACAAATAATCAAAAGTAATATATTAGAAGTTAGATTTATTAATAAAATATAATAAAAATTAAATTTTTTTCTCTATATTAAAATTTTAATTTTTATTATATTTTATCAACAAATTTAACACTAATACATTACTTTTAATTATCAATATATAATAAATAATTTTATAATAAAACATAATCAAATTTTTTTATAAATGCATATATTATATAAATTCTTTCTAATATATAATATGATTTAATTTCAAATTATAAGATTTTTTATTTTATAAATATATATTTTTCTTGTTAGTTTTTTATATAATTTCAAGAGAGATTAAGATTTATATATATATTTTTTAAGATAAAATATTTTCATAATACTATAAATATAATAGCACTACTTTTTAATTTTTAATAATAAATTAAAATTAGGATTAGAATTAAGACTCAAGTATTATTAATAAATAGAAAGTCGTATCATGAGATCATAACACCATCAATTAAAAACTTAATATTTAATTTGATATTTATATAATTTTTAAATTTTTAAACATATTGAATTCTTTAGCTTAAAATTAAAATCTTTAAGAAAATTATTTACATTGCATTTGCTTAATCAAAGTATTGATTATGAAATTAATTTCATATCTTTTATTAATGTTCAGAAATATGATTTTATTGATTTTATAGTTTTTATGGTTCATTTTATTAGTAACTTTATTCGCATGTTATTCTTGCATGTATATTCACCCTAATGTCAACCAATCAAAAATTAGGATCGTTATCATTTGTAAATCATCACCTTCGCACATTTCACACGCAGGGACACCATGTCTTTTAATCTATCTGCTCTTCCTAATGAAATTCTTTCGCAGGTGTTTAGTCTATTAAATTCGCGCACATTAGAGCGTAGTCTTATGCGCGTAAACCGTAATTTCAGAATTATAGCTCATGATATTCTCTCACAACGTGTGACCAAAGCATTTAAAGAAAATGCTTACGCTTTGGTTGTAAGTATTTTTATTTTTCATATACCTCTTCGATTGATGTTAAAATCACTTTCAACAATAACGATATTTATTATGAAAACTATAGCTCGAGGTTTCTTGCAATTCTCTATTTGCAAACTCACTAAATTTCCTCTACATGGAAGATTCGCCTCGATGTCACTTCTCATTTGCCTCAGATCACCCACCGCAATACATATTTTCAATGCAAAAATCAAATTCAGCGTGGGTGAATCTGATACGAATGCACCCCGTGAAAACAGACAAGATTACGAAACTATATAGAGTGACAGAAGGTGAAATCGATCTTGATAATAATAACGATGTTGGTAATGTCTCGTCATCAAAGATGATGTTATTTCAACAGCAGACAGGAAAGTCTATCGAACTCCCAATTGACAATCATGGCGGTTCGTTTGGTAAGATTGTCGTAAAGTTTATTGAGACGTTGAAGCCGGGTGAATTTAAAGTTGAATTGGAAGAAGTTGTTGTGAGTGTTGCTGAAATATTTAATGCACTTGAAGAGGAAGAGGAGGAATTGGAGTTAGGAGAAATAAATAATTTGAAAAATTTGGATAGGGATTGGCGGATTCATAATTAGTAAATACGATTTGATTTAAACTCGTGGATGTATTAATATCAAAAATTGAACATTTTCATTAATTAAATTCATGTAAATACACCTTAAAACCATAAAGACTATTTCACCTTTTCAATTTAAACACCAAGATTAGATAGATAGATAGATAGATAGATAGATAGATATATATATATATTGCTATTTATTTAATGAATAAGCTTTCATATCGGTGTAAATGAAACCAAAAAAGTTTTACAAGACTCTTGCCCTCTTGTCAAAGACTTCTCATCACTAACCTTATCCAATAATCCCATAATTAACCTTGACCTTGTAACCTTTTTCACCAAAGTCTCAGAAGGCTAATAATAATATGATGCTCACTGCAATTAAATCATCGTTGATTATATAATTTCAATAATCTTTTCCTTCGAAAGTTTGATCCGTTCTTTTTTTTGAATATCACCACTAATGACATAATCTCGACGAGCTTGAGTTTCGGAATCATTTTATCGATGACCCTTTTGGCTATACATTTGATATATGTGGACAAAATGAATCCATATTGCATTGTGATTGTTAAGACTCATGTTTCCCGCATGCGTCAAAATAAGTAGAATATATCCACATATTGTCATCGTTACTTACATATGTTCATTATAGGATGAAAATCTTTTGTTACCTCGAGAAAATCTTGTTCATTAATTTTTGGATTTCGAAATCATCGTCGGATTCAAATAAATGTTTGCTTCTCTTTAAAAATTCCAATCTGAATCAGATTGGAATTTTTATCGGTTTTCTTTTATTTATGTGGTAGAAATCTTTGTTCTTTCCATTTTACATATGTATAAACATTGGATGATACACGACTCAGACTTAAAATTAAATAGACTGATGGCTATTAAAATTCCCGTTTCCGGTCAAAACTTGATTCGCATAGCACTTTAAATGCCAAAATCAAATATCAAATATTCAAATATCGATTTAGGAAAAAACTTTCGTCGTGGTCATTGTTTGAAGATGAGTGAACTCATGAGCTACTACTTCGGTAAGAAATTCTTCCTACACCAAAAAAAAGAAAAAGGCACCTCATAAGTAGTTAGTTACCCTAACTCTTTAATTAATATTAAAGATAATTAATGATGCCTTCAAAATAAGCCATATATGTAAGAATAATCATTAATTAACTAATGATCGTCGTTTTCAGTTTTACACAGTTATAGATTATGTAGAAGGACGCAACCATTATTATTCCATTATTCTTCCATTGTTATTGAGAAGAAAACTTTTTTTATCATATGAATCAGTTCCATCATGTGGTTCAATTTTCAATTTTTTTTTACAAGAGTTTTTTTTTCTTAAAAATCCTAACCCTAACCATAATAACAAAGAGCAACAGCAATAACCACAATAAAATAATATGCATCTTATAATATGCCTTTTGTAATGGTCAATGAAAAAAATTCAGTGATGTTGGATGATCTCGGAATAAAATTAAAAAAAAAAAAAAAACTTGAATTTGACAGTCAAGGTAATCAATCACCCCACACTCTTCAAAATTGACATCAAATAAAAAATATTATATGCTGTATAACATGTATTTTTAATTGTGTGTAAATTAGAGTTTTGTGAAAATTGCGTTTTTGGAAAATTGTGCATTGGTTATTATTAATTGGGAAACTGGCGAACGAATTATTCACGAGAAAAAAAAAAGGAAAAAAAGTGAAACCAACATCATTTGGAACACAAGTTCAATAAAAAATAATCGTCGTTCGTCATCATCGTATATTACCAAATTAAGTAAAGAATCGAAGAGTTCCATAAACGTGGACAGTTCAGCAGCAGTATATCCCCCGCATTTAATTATTTCATTATTCTCCGATAGATTCATGTTTGGTTCGGTTCAATTCGATTGAACTTTAACGCACATGTATTTGGTTCGTTACAGTTGAGTAAGTTAACTATGTAACTAACAATAATGCAAATGCATGTTTTTTTTTCTCTAAATTTGTAAAATGTCATTATCATTTATTATTATTAATATTAATTGTTTTTTTTTTCTTTGGTTGGAAGATCTTTTGAATTTGTGGGACTCGCATTCGATTCATATGTTTATACTTGCGTCTGGGAAAGCAGGTTAGTATGAAAAAACATGGTGAACGGTGTTAAACGAAAGATATGGTTAGTTGGTTTTACGTTTTGGGGAGTGTGATATTTATATAATTAAAGTCACCGTAATTCTTTTTTTATACCAACCGTTCATTTACCGAATTCAGCGTTAAAAAACACTATAACAGCATCGTTTCGGAAATTCCATTTGTGAAACTTTGGAGGCTATGCGATACCTTCTGTCGTCAGTGTGTAATATCTTCCTTTAAAAGACGTAATGATTATCGGTGATACAAGTTTCTATTTTGTTATCTATTTCTTATCTATTTCTTATCTTTTACTAACCACTATAATGATGGATGATGAAAGAACCAAAAATATCCATAATTGAATTATTCATCATGATGAAAAGAGAAATACGCTCGTGTGTCTATCGCTATTAATAAACACGAATCAATCAATTACTCCTATTCACAATTGAGCATCGACCCTATAATGCTCAATTGCATCATTTCGATGGCCCTATACATATAGCACTATGACTCAACAATGATTTCTTTCTCCATATACAGAGAGTTTATCCACTTACCGAGGACGACGAGACAAAAAGGCGATGACGACGAAAGTAAAAAAAAAAAAAGGAGTGAAAGGGGCGAAAAGACTGGGTGATCATTTGAACCATGAGATCTTCGATGATGCAATCACACGCAAAACGGGTTATCATAAAGAAATTATATCAGTCTTTATGAGATTTGTGTAAGGTATGTTCCCAATTTCGGCAGTTCTTTGAAATCGTTAAAGAGCTAAGAACGGTATCATACCATAAAATCCGCCTTAATGAATCGTATTGCATAAATTAAAAAAGAATGTAACGTCAGACAAAAAAATTGTACCACGTAAACATCTTACAGGATTTTTATGTAGAGAAAAAATTGCAAAGCAAAAAAAATACAATTATGTTTAAACAATAATGCATGTTTTTTTTTCTTATCGTAAATTCGACCAATCATTTTATTTTATCAATTTGATAAGATGGGAATTCATTATATGATACCATACATAAAAATTGGTGATGCATGTCGTTGATTTTCACCGTTAACGATACAGGCAAACAAATGAACGTGCTGAAACCACATGTACTTACATACCGTACCGTGCAGTACCCGTTTCTATCGTCACGAACGGTATACATGTACGATAGAACCCATACAATATCGACAACATACCGCATTTTTATTGCGGTTTGCTTCACATAGGGAGAGGGGATATCTTGTCATATAATGTTCCGTACCCCATTTGGATAAATTTTAAAAGGGACCAGTGATAAACAATAATCATTAACAATGATCATTATTAATATTATCCATTATACAGTGATTTTCTTTTGTGAAACTAAAACAACATAATAATTGAAATATTTGTGGGGAAGGAGCAAAATGTCAAATTTTTTCCCT